TTTCGTAAAATTTATAACAGGGAGCATTTGCCCTGCGTTTGACGTGTATGCTCATAGTCATTGATTTGAATTACGATTTTTGAAACTAAATTCAGTTAGCAGTTAACTGGTTAAAACGCGCGTCGTTCTGCACTTTTGAAATTTTATCCGACACAGGAGACAAGAATTACATTCATGCTTGAGATTCCTCGCATCTTGGAGCATACGAAAAAATTAACAAAGAACTGAGAGCGAACGAAAGACTCGTTCCAAGAAACGAGAAAAAGGCGGATTATACTTTCTCGTCGATGAGATTTCGAATTAAGATACTGACGGTGGTCGAGTATCTTTGGCAGAGCCAAGAGCATTCTGTTCTTTTCTCCCCTTCTTCTTCGGTTCTTCGTCTTTCTGGCTCGTTGCTTACTTTATAAATTCCCGCGAAAATTTTCTCATCGCCAGGAGCGCGCTAAATGCACTTAGGCGAGAGCGATACGCATGCCGTACGGCACATTAACGACGATGATACGGTGAAGTGGCGGACAAAGTAATGCGCAGCATCCGCGCTAAACTGCCCCGCAATTTGCAATTTGCAACTTGTCACACGTATCGTCGGTAATCCACGTTTCAAACTAAACTCGAAATCGATACGTATAATATCATACTTTTCCACGCCCGTTAATAATACTCTTCCAGTATTGATTTTATACCACGAGCGCAATTCTTTTCTTTCGTAATATATATAAATCTGTGTTACGTGTGACTCGAATCGAACATCGATACGAGTGTATCGAACATGTATTTGTTGAAAATGAAGAAAAATGTTTAGGAACAATTTGCATGGACTTGGAACATGGTCAGAATATTACTGAGGTATTTGTTATCTTCTTTCGAATTTAAATTTATGCAAATTCGAGGTATTTTGTGGGCCATAAATAAAAAGATAACTTGATTTCATCTCAACGCTAACTACATTCTCTTTATTAAATTTCTCATGGAGTAGCATAGTCGTTCTAATTTTATGTAAAGCGGTCATTAATCAGACTTGGGGGAATTCTTTGGAACTCTTTCGTTATTTTCGTAACGGTGCAATAAAAAGAAAATTATACTATAATAAAATTTATAAATCAACTTATAATATAAGTTTAACCTCTATTGCTGGCATTTTAATTTATCATTATTAATTTTAATTTCCCTATTCAATTTTCACTAAATTATATTTTATATTAGAATTTTTATTAATTTTATTATAATATAATATAATATAATATATATATATTTATATATATAATATAAATAAATATAAATTTAATTAATAATTTAACCATAATTATATTTAGCATTACACGTTCGCCGCGATTATGTAATACTTTGCGTCCGATTTTTCCTTACGCTCGGGAATATTTTCACGATCAAGGTCAACTCATTAGCCTGAATGAAAGCCGCGTACAAACGCGGCTGTCCCCTTTGCCTTTGCGCTTTCGCATATTTATTTTTCGTCGTTTCCACCCCACGGTGAGAAGTGGGGAAGGCAGCGGCGGTATGGTGAAATCGCGAGAAGGGATACCGTTTTATTCGTGAGCATGCGCTCACCGCCATGGGGGCGAGTACTGGTTGCAGAGGGGTTGCCGCCTCTCTTTGGGAGGGTGATGTTATTGATCAGAGTTTCTTCTGTCCCACGAAAACGGCTCAAGTGTATCACGCCATGGGGAATCGAGCTTCGATTTTTCCCCTTGCTTGCAGCGTGTGCGAGCCTGCGGGCGTTGCGTCGCGTTGCAAGTTCTCCCGAATTTTTCGGAGACAGTTGGAAAATATTATCGGGCCATCCTTTCGTTTCTCTGGTAAATAGTTGGCAAAAATTATCGGATCACGTTTCTCACGTTTCTTTACCTCTGCTTGCTCGTGAAAATGAAAGATTCGAAAACTCGACGAATAACATATATCACTATATATACAGGGTGTTTCGTAACTTGTGGGACCTACTGATTGTACGCCTAAAAATAATGAAAAAAAGTCATATAAATATATGTCTTATATGTCTTCGATATAATGAATTTTCTGTTTTAATTACTTTTACAAAAAATGCTCGAAATAACCACCTTGCATTTGAAGACAAGCCTGCACGAGTCTTGTCATTGATCTGGTTACTCTCTCTATCATTCCTGGTGTTTCTCGAATTTGTCGGAAGCCTTGCTCTATTCTATTTCGTAGTATTTCAGCATGTTCAATCGATGTTGCGTATACAATAGATTTTAAATGTCCCCAGTGAATGAAAATCTAATGGATTCAAATCCGGAGAACGAGCAGGACATGCAAATACGACCTCCACGACCAATCCATTTATTAGCAAAATGTTGATTTAAAAATTGCCTAGCCACTCGGCTAAAATGCGGCGGAACTCCAACCGCATACGAAGTCTAATATCGATTGGAACTTCCTCTGATATTTCGTGTAAACGCGTGCTCGAAGAATCAACGTACTTTGTGCCTGTTAGTTTCTCATCAAGAAAAAAAGGTCCAGTTAAAAATTTATCAATTATTCCTGCCCATACGTTTAAACTAAATTGGCGTTGACGTCTTGAATGCATAATAACATGTGGGTTTTCTTCATCCCAATTATGATTATTATGAAAATTGAATGTATCATCCCTGGTAAAACTAGCTTACTAGAGTTTGCTCTGTTTATAAAATTCATCGTATCTCATAACGAAGGCAGATAGGACATATATTTATATGACTTTTTTTCATTATTTTTAGGCGTACAATCAGCTCCCAAAGTGAGTCCCACAAATTACGAAACACCCTGTATATATATATCTATATAAACATATAATATACAATATTATATATATATATTATATCTGTATAAACATAATATACAATATTATATATATATATATATAATAGCACTAGCTATTACTCGTCAAGATCCTCGCGTCTGGAAATAATTTCAACTTCAATTTCGCGTGCCACACATTTTTCGTGGGATGTTTCCTGTACGTTGAATTTCAGAAAATTCGAAGAGATCTTCTTCGAGCACGTTTGTGCTTCGTGCATGCGGAATTGAAAATACACGGGTCGCGTAGAGAGGTACGTGGTTCTACTTGAGACGAAGAAAGATAGAGTTGACCTTAAAATATTCGGAGTTTCTTTTATCTTTGGAGGAGCTTGATATTTCAATCTTATCAACCCACATCGCTGAATTTCAAAAAGGTTTCCAAAGGTTACGTGGAAACCAATTTCCTCCAATCTCTATAAATAACAATTCACATTGTTGATACTTACGTAATGATAATTGTAAATTCTGCAGTTATTATTTGAAGTACAAAGAGAAATCTTGCAGGCTGACATGGAAAAAGAAATATCGTTTTCGCTTCTTCTCTTTCACGTGCTTGTTAAATATGCATTCATACTTGTCATCAAACGTTGCGAGAAATGGAGCAATCGGGATAAGCTGACGAGCGGGCAGAAACCATTGATTAAAACGAACCTCGTTTTATCTGTAGAGGAAGCACGGCACGTTCCAAGGTGTTTGATAAACGAACAAGTGCAGCGATAACGAAGAACATTAAAAAAAAGAGGCAAGTTCCGACGTGGTGCACGTTCCATTCTAATCGATACACCAAGGCGCCAATCCGTTTTCCGATCGACCCTCGAGAACTTGTCTCTAATGAAGCGATGAAAAGAGGTTCCGATTAGATACCCCAGATAAAACATTCAGCAACCGTGGATGAACGGAGTGACAAAAACGTGACAAAAAAGCAACAAAAACGACGCGGAGAAAAGAAAAGGAAGAAAGTGATAATTTCGCGTGGAAAAAAAATGGTGAAATGTCGTTTTTTTAAAAGGCACGAAGACAGTCTTGTATGTATTATAGTAAATACACGAATTTAATATATAATAATACATACATATACACGTTATATAATATTATATAATATAATAAATATAAAATATATAATAATATAATATATATGTAATATATAATAATTAGAAAATAATAATAATATAATAAATACACTACACACGATTTTATCAATATACGACTTTTATTAGAATTTTTTTACTAAATTTTCTTTAAGAATTATCTTTAGAAAAGTAGATTTTGTTCAATTTTGTTCAAAAGTCGGGGAAAAGATTCTGCTTCTACTTTTCCAAAAGTACTTCAAGAAAATTTAGTAAAATAAGTCGTATACTGATAAAATCGTGTCAGATATCTCCCGTTTGTTTGCGTATACGAATGACTGTGATACAATGAAATCTCAAGTGACAATCTTGATGGCAAATCGGGCATGAACGGTGAAAATGAGAGAAAGTAAATGGTAAATAAATGACAGAACCGTAGGTCTTTACGATTGCTCAGTTTGTGCAGCGATATGGAAGAGCGTGGTCATTGCTATTTACCGTAAACGGAATAAAGTGCAAAGCTCAGGGAAAAAAGGAAAAGCAGCCTCGAACGAGCACGGAGAGCGCAAAGAGAACGACGAAACGTGGCACGATGACGTAACGTTAATGTTCCGCGAGAAATATTAAACGAAACAAGCCCTCTTCGTTAGCGAAACGATGCGTAGGAAAGCTCGCAATTGCGCAACGAGTTTTATCCAAGGCGTAACGAACAACACCCACGAACAAACCAGAAAAGATACGAAAGGAGCCAGTCGCGAGAAAACGAACAAAGGGAACGATCTGTCGTGAGAAGATCGGTGTTAATCAAAGGCGTGGATCAAAACGTCAAAACTGGGCAGGACAACTGCACGCGACAGAGACGAAGCGAGCCATCGGCAGCGACAAAAGGGGGAGGAAGTCAGAGAGAACGTAATTTATCCAAAAGCACGAGAGACCGAGAGAGAGAGAGAGAGAGAGAGAGAGAGAGAAAGAGAGAGAGAGAGGGACAGCTGCGGATCCGCGGAGTGTGCACGAGAGCGAAGGAGGGAGAACAGAGAGAAAACAGGATAAAGAGACAGATGGAAAAAGACACGAGTGTAGAGAAAGAGCGAGAGAGAGAGAAAGAGAGAGAGAGAGAGTGAGTGAGAGAGAGGGAGAGGGAAGCGGTTGAGTGAGTCAGTGATGGCGTACAGCAGCCAGGCCGAGCACAGCTGTTCTTCGATCCCCTAACCTACGCCAGTTTATTTCAACTACCAACACTACGTGGTCCTGATCCGCGCGTCTCGTGCTCCGTCGATACCTCGTCGATATCCGTCAGTCTTCCATTTTTATCGCTATATCGTCCTCGTTGTTCACGTTTCCTCGCCGTGATTTTTTTCGTCGTCGTCTCTCCCGAAAACGACGAAACTTGTCCGCCGACGAGAAACAGAAGGAGAGAGAGGAAAAGGGGAGGGAGGGAGAAGACAAAGTGCGAACACAAAGCTACAATCTTCGATAAAAGGAAGGGGGTGGGGGGTGGCGGCATTTTATCGGCGTGAAACAGTGAATCGATTGTGAAACAGCGACGAGGCGCGGCGACGACGACACAGTGACGTTTCGATCATGCTCCGAAACGTGTCTCCCCCGAGGAGCCATCGGCGCGAACGTTCCGCGATGCTCGGCGTGGTGAAACGTTAACCTGGCTCTGTCAGTCAGGCCTCGTTATCTTTGGCGGAGCGTTTTTTCCTCGACGGACGAGCCGCTTTGAACCAGCTCCTTCCGTCGCGCTCTTCGATCTCGCTCGAGCGAGAATATAACGAATCGATCGTTCCAGAGCGCGCGATTGTTCCTCCCCTGGGTAGTTACCAAGTCCGCGTGTTTCCAAGGCGAATCGAAGTGATGCGTGCCGGGTGAGGAGTACTCGAAAGGGATTAATTGAAAGGGGACCGAGGATTTTTTTTTTTTTAACGAGCGCGGATCGGCAACCGAAGAGGATCGGTGGATCTCGTTGGGGGAGGGGGACGATGCTTGGTAAATGTGGGAACGTGGCTGGTTTGGTAACGAAGAGATCTGTTTAAATAGAGAATAATTTTAGGATTTGTGTTTTGGAAAGAAATCCGAACTTCAGAGGCCTGCTGAAGCGAGGTGACAGACGAAATCTCACTGAAGAAAGTTCGTAGTATTTTTCGACAAATTTATCTGGGAAATTCAAATATCGGATACGTATGATATAGAGAGGAACGCAAAATCAAGCAACGACGAGTTTTCTCGGAAATTTTTTACGGAAAAAAAATCTCAAAGAGAGAGAAAGAGAGAAAGAGAGAGAGAGAGAGAAACGAAGAAGGCTGACTTCCCTTCTCCGTCTTTCGCCGCAAAAGGCGCGTCCGGTCGATTTGCGAAACGAATGGGAAAACGTGGGCAGCGTGCAACTATAAATGGAACCTGTAAATGCCGAACGATTGGCTGTGTCACGAGGAAAATGACAGGAAAACGGAATTTTCGAAAACTGATATCCTTCCTAGAATCACTGTTAGAGCTGTAACTGAGTATACGAGATTAAGTATAACACGGAAAGATTGTTCCTTCGATAAGAGATAAGCCAAGTCTCGAATCTTACAAATTACACTTTTGAGTGTCTTCGAAAACTCGTCTATACAAAAGACGCGCAGTAATATACTCATATTGATCTTTGGTACAAAAGACGTGAATTACAAGAAAAAAAAAAAGAGGATCGTCCAGTTATTTGTCTATGCGATAACTATAACAAAAGACGCGTAATAATATACTCATATTGATCACTCGACGTACAAGACGATTTACAAGAAAAAAAAAAAAAGAAGAAAGAAAGTTCCTGACAGCCTTTATTCAGAAAAAAAGAGAGACAGTATTTTGCAAGTGCGCAGCCACATTCCTGACTCCAAGTCGCGAGATTTCGCGACACGATTCGCCGATCGCCGTGAATGGAAACCGGTCCGTCTCAGAAATCGTATCGTTCGGTCGTTGTTCGCGAAAAAGGAGAGAGAGAAAAAAAAAGAAGTGGCAGTCGCTCGCGCGACGACACATTCCGCGAATTCTCGAACGATCGGCATGCCAATTAAGCATCGGTAACCGCGTTTCCCTTTTTTTCCTTTTTTTCCCGAGCAACCAAGTGAGAGGTGTGCAACAAGTACGAAACGAAAACGAGCGACGAGTGAAAAATAATTGAAACGAGAAGGAGAGACCGGCAGATCGAGGAGGATAAAAAGGAGATAAGGAGGAGCAGGAGGAGGAGGTTGTTGTTGGCGCAGCCGGGGAATGGGGTACTGATGAAATGCCAGAGGGACATTTTGAAAATCTTTGTCTCGACGCATGCGTGGCGACGCACTCGACGCCCGATGGAGCGCGATGAAGCTGCCCCTCGCTGGATGAAGAAGGGTCGAGACCCGGAGAAGAGAAGTTCTCCGATGGTGTTCGTCGACGTACCAGCCAGGACACACCGGGCGTCGCGACGCGTCATTCCGCGATCCTCTCCGTCTCCCCTCTGACCTCTCGACTCGAAAACTCTTTTTTTTCACTTCCTCGAGATCGAAAACTCATTAACCTGTCGGTATCTCGCTTTCTCTCTGCCCGATCGAGGCTCCCTCACCGACCAGCTGATCGCCGAACTACGGCAACGGAAGGTGTAAATAACCAGAAAGAGTAGAACAACACGGAGAAAGACATTATGCCGGGTGAAAATAGGGGGAGAAGCTTGAGGCAAACGACTCCGTCTGGAGTGACGGAGACGACCACCCCTTTGTCGAAGGCGAGCGAGCTCGAGGTGAGAACACGCGGCGGCTCGATGATACCGCTTCCTCGTTGCGCGATGCCGCAGAACCCGAAGACCGTCAAAACGGAGAAGAATCGTCTGAGGCTGATCATGGAGAACAGCAGAGGACTGGCGGACACGTTGGCGAAGGAGCGGAGGATCAACGTGGACGAGGACGAGGAAAACTATCGAGTGTTCTCCGTGAAGGAACTGGCCACGCCGCGATACTGCGACCTATCCTGCAACGTGTATCGATGCCCTGTGCGAAAGGTGACTCTCTCCTCAGTTTGAATCTCTTCTCTTCTCGTTTTTCATATTCGTTCAGTAGTCGATCGTCGAAAGTGGAATCTCTGACGAGATTTACTGGGACGATCAGAATGACAATCCTTTCCCAGAGACGATACTTTAACCTCTTGCGCTGTGAAACGACGTGCCACGCACGTCGAGAATTTTTTGTCTCCAAAATTGCAATAATTTCTCAGTTTTGAGTATATTTAAGTAAGACAAACTAGGCAAAGTAAATAATGAATTTATTACTTCTCAATAATTTCTATCCCAGTGATATTACCGACGAATTATTGTATACGGGTTCGGTCACTCGTTATGGTCCGCAATCAGTTGCCCGCGCAAGTGGTTAACCTAGAACAACGTGTCACGCACGTCGAGAACTTTTTGTCCCAAAATTGCAACGTTTTCTCAGTTTTAAGTATATTCAAGTATAATTAAGTAAACAAAACAAATAACAAATTTATTACTTTTTTAATAATTTCTATTCAGTGATATAATACCGACGAGTTCAAAAAGAAAGCGACGAATTATTGTAGACGGTTTGGTCACTCGTTATGGTCCGCAATCAGTTGCCAGCGCAAGTGGTTAATCTCTTGCGCTGGAATGACGAGAACTTTTTGTCTCAAAATTGCAACATTTTCTTAGTTTTAAGTATATTCAAGTATAATTAAGTAAACAAAACAAATAACAGATTTATTACTTTTTTAATAATTTCTATTCAGTGATATAATACCGACGAGTTCAAAAAGAAAGCGACGAATTATTGTAGACGGCTTGGTCACTCGTTATGGTCCGCAATCAGTTGCTAGCTCAAGTGATTAAAGAGTAACATTAGGTGATTGTATGTCACTTTTTATGGAGTTTATGTGCAGATAGATTTTCGTTTCCAATTATTCTGTATTTTATAATTCTTCCTTCGTGATGGCCCCTCCGTTTGGCATTGGTTATTCGCCAAATGATTTTTCGGTTATCGAGTCACTTTGTGTGGTTGTTGACTTTGGCTCTCTGTCCAGTTACATTGGCACACTGATTGCATCGGTCTTTTCTTCTCGTAATGATTTTTTTTTTTTATTCAGTCTTACTACAAGTGACGATTCCTTTCTTTTATATAACAATTTACAACATTTTCACATTCTCTGTTTGTTTTGCGTAGCTGTTTTGTTTCACGTTGAGATCAATATTTTATTAATAGTCTGATGCCGCGTTGCTGATGCTCGTGCGCTACTTTATACTCACGCTCGTTCAAATTTCGAATATTTCGAACGTGTCCAAGTGCTACAGATAGGTCGATGCTTTGATATTTTTTATATTTCGATACAAGTAAATTGGTTTTAAACAATTTTCGGTATTAAATTTCTCGCGGGAAGAGAATTTCGCGAAGTAACGAATTAACGAGAGTAGATCGATCGGTACCCGGACAGTCGATGTTTCTTTCATTTTCAATCTTCCGTCCGTGCGAGTAAATTGATTTTAAATTGCTTCGCGCTAATCAAAATTAAATTCGTAAATATCGAATGTCGTCACTCGGCTAAAGAATTAATTTGATGCGAGTTATATTAATTCAATCAATTCGATATTAATTGAATTTTCAGAGTGGACCGTTCGTTTTCGTTTCTCATTTCATTTCACGAGGGTATTAAAAAGTTGTTCTCTCTATTCGCAAAGGAACGTCTAGCCCAAGAATGCGGGCCGTTCCTCGGAATTTCTTCAATTCCCGCCTCGTCGTCTCTAATTCGATTCGTTAAACGCATCACATGGACAACGTTTCGCTTGAAAATTTTCTGAAGCGCACGGCTGTTCATTTCTGTTGGCCTCGTGAGTCACGAAACACTCGCAATCAGAGCCAGGATCCGAATTGTGCGTTTCACGAGCGATCGTCGATGAATCTGCTCGATACTTTCGTCCGATAATGAGTCACACTTTCGAAATGATAACCGAAAGATCTTTGCTTTCGTCGTTTCTCGCGCCATTGATTAGCACGCTCTATTTTCCAACCGATTGTCAGCTTCGCCGTTGACTCTCTTCTGAAACGATTTAACGTAGAATTTCTTTTCTGTATTTATACAGATTAACCTCTTGCGCTGAGAATTCTTTGTCCCAAATTGCAACATTTTCTCAGTTTTAAGTATATTTAAACCCAGGCAAAACAAATGATAAGTTTATTACTTAATAATTATATTATAAATAATAATAATTATTAAATTATTAATATTAATTATTATTATTATGTATTATATTAATAATAATATTAATTACTATTATTGATATTAATTATTTATCGTCGATATATCATTGGATAGAAATTATTAAGATTAATGTAATATAATTATTAAAATAATAATAATTATATTATATTAATCTCAATAATTTTTATTATTATTATTAATATTAATTATTTTTAATTAATATTATTAATTTTATTATTTTGAATTCGTCGATATGATATCATTGGATAGAAATTATTAAGATTAATATAATATAATTATTAAAATAATTATTATATTAATAATAATAATAATTATTATTATTATTATTAATTATTTTGAACTCGTCGATATGATATCATTGGATAGAAATTATTAAGATTAATATAATATAATTATTAAAATAATAATAATTATATTATATTAATCTTAATAATTTCTATCCAATGATACCATATCGACAAGTTCAAAATAATTATTTTAATAATTATATTATATTTATAATAATTATTTTAATAATTATATTATATTAATCTTAATAATTTCTATCCAATGATATCATATCAACAAGTTCAAAGGTAAAAGAAAGCGACAAATTATTGTATACGGTTCGGTCACTCGTTATGGTCCGCGAACCAGTTGCCAGCGCAAGGGGTTAAACTCCGCTTCTGGTGGCATATATATCGCGCAGGTTCTTGATACTACTCAACTTCTCACGACGATACTGTTTCGTCACAATACGCGGCACGTCCGACCGCTTTGCCGCTTTATTTCTTACAATTGGACCGAAATAGGGCAAAGAAGAACACTCGTGGGATTTAATTCCGTCACGCTAGCGTTGCCTAAGTTTAAAATAGTATTCTTCAAGCGATCGCTCGAAAGCAAAAGTTCCTTCTTCCCGTTTAAATTCTTTCGCTCGAAAGAAAAGTAACGAGGAATTCTGGTTGGAAAAATTGAATCAAGTATTATAAATATCGGAATACTGCCGCCCTTCTGGCAAAAAGTTTTCGAAATTGAAATCTTTGATGGCAGAGAGTTTTAACTCTATTTCAATCACTTTCTATTTCAAATAAATTCGACGATATTTTGTGTCCCTTGATATTTTCAAGTACTTGCGTTTGATGCAAGAAAACTGTCTGCTAGGAATAGTAAAAAATACAAGCATCGAAGTGTTTTGATTTTTATGTTATCGCAGATTGAAGCTTAAACTTCAAAAGGATCGATTTATCAAGAGGTTAATTTCTCTGTTCGTTGATAAGTCGAGTAGGAAAAGTCTTTCTGTATTTGAACTGTGAAGTGTTCTGCTCACACGCTCGCGTGTTGCACGTGACTAAAATACTTTCTTGCTCGTGATCGTGTGGAAAATAAAAATATACGACTCGATTCCGATGTTCTGGAATCGTCGTTACAACAATCTTTGACTAGGAATCAAAGATCCAAGACGATGATCTTGGATTTAATTGTTTTTATTAAACACGCGATAAGTAATTTAGATAAGATAAGCTTATTAATTAGTGACATAATGACATAGAAATTTAAATCTCGTTTTCAGTAGCAAGACTTTAAAATTTTTAAATTATCAAACTTCCATGAGATTCCTAAAATTCTCAAATTTTATTTGAAATTAAGATAAGATATATTAAGCGTTGAATGTTAAAAAAACTATCATAGAAATTTGATGCTTAAATCTCGTTTTCAGTAGCAAGACTTTAAAATTTTTAAATTATCAAACTTCCATGAAATTTCCAAAATTCTCAAATTTTATTTCAGATTGAGATAAGATACATTAAATATTGAATATTTAGCCTTACCGAATACAGTGGGGATGAAATTCGTACCGCGAAGGACAAACCGTACTTCATGTTTCTTCTTTACTTTTATTTCATTGTTATTATAGTCATGCCCGACTCTCAATTCTGAGGCTTAGTAAATGTCCTTGTCGCAACTTTTTTACGACATTCAAGACATATTGCGAGTGACACATCCTGGATCCATTAGAAAGTGCAAATACTACTTTCTGGGAACGACCTCGCTCATATCTGGAAGCAACTAGCATACCTCCCTAATCTCGTAACCATAGAATCCACAGCTATATAAGACCAACGCACAAGGAAAATAGTGAGTTAATGTTTTTTGGCAATCGCGCAGCGCGCACAGAAGTTCCAGAGCAAATCCATCGACGTACGACAGTTTACGGTTCGACTATCAAACTCACTCAAATCTTATCATTTTACCAATTCAAGCTCTCTCTTACGACAATCTACATTCCTCAATCATACCAATCCAACCTCAAAACAACTCTCCCTTGAACCAGCTGACTTTCATTGACGTGAAAAGATTGAAAGACAGCAAACCACCGAGCTGCTCAACACTGCTCCTTATACGTCGAGGTCAGATCGGCACGCAAGAAATATTGAAAAAGCGTCGTAGAAATTTGATGTTTAATTCTCACCCTCTCTCCAATATGTATCTGAAAATTGTCCAACATTGGAAAGTTTTATCTCCGTATTCTGAGCAACTCGAAGTGAGTCACCAGTCCAAACCAAATAGTTGCGAATGCCCCTGTTATCTCAATTTCTCGAACAGATACGCGTGACACGGCGTATTTGCGTTTCGTAAATCCGCGGTTTGCTCAACAATTGTAAAAACAGCTGTCCGCCAATGCGACAAACGGTTTTGCCAGATCGTGGCGCAGCTCTCTGTACTTCGTATTTTATTTACATGGGAGCCCGGAGGCTTATCTTTCCAATGGTAGAGCGTAAGATGGCCGGATAAGAG